TAAGTATACCCAACGTCTAAATCAATTTCTTAAATGATCTAGTAGGCAAGTTCACGTTACAAACTGTCTAGAAGGAAGTGTTTCATAAACACTTTAGTGAAATTATTCTTAAATTAGTTGTGCTTCTCTTGTTGGAATCTCTAAGAGTATAGTAGCATTTTATGTATTCGCCATGTACTCTAGTCTAAAAGTTGCATGTTCCATGGACCTCTTCATGAAATATCCTATATCTCATAACGTGGTAAGTATTTTACTAAAGCCTTTAAGGATCCTTTGAACTATCAGAAATAGTAAACTTAGTAGTTTCAACTTTAGGAACTTTATTAAGAATATTTTGTGGTTTCCCATAATCTTCTAAGTGCATGAGGACTTTAGAGCCACTAGTCTGTTGCTCATTATTCTCATGTTTATCTATTATATCCATAAAGATCTCAATTTTTTTTTCTTTTTCACGGAGGTAGGTACCTTTTTGTGATAGCACTCCTCTATCGCTGTAGTGGTGGACTAGTATAAATTTTCGAAATGGACTCTATTACGTATCTTACCGGAAAGCACCTCATATGGAAAAATAAACCTTCCATCTGTCTTGTATACTACTTATGTAGCATTTCTTTTCTTGGAGATGGCTGTATGTCCATTGACGAAATTTGATATCTTTGAAGTTTGAACCTCCAGCCAAATTCTATTATAGGGTAATTGTTCCGAGCCATACACGAATAGGGTAAGTAATGACAGATTCAGTTATTTGACCCTAATCGCCACACACGTACGGAGGAATAAGAAAGAAAGACATGAAATTTCCTATCACGTCCTCGAAGAATCACGATTATGGGAATGGCCGACTACATAACCATAATTGAGATTCTACTACTGACGTGTGCTCCATTAGTCACAAGAATAACCTAGGGCTCTGATACCAACTTTCTCACGACCCAATTTAGGATTGTGACTGGCGCTTAGGAGCAAGTGCTCCCAAGTAAGCCTCTGTAATTTTACAGAAAATCGGACAGAGTTTCCCCTGTCTTTGGACCATCCCGAAAATTTTCCTGTCTCAAATCAACAACCAAACATCCTAATATCATACCAAACAATTGACAACTTGTCAATTAACCAACACCATAACTAAACCACCAACTAACCACTAGAAATACTAATTTATATCTCCAACTTTGATAAATGAGAACGATACTCAACATAAGACTATAATAACAAAAGAATACTCATGACAATAAAATAATGACTATGGAGCGACTCTAAGAGTTCAATGAAAAGACCATAACAATAAATAAAATCTCTGCCCACGCGAACACGTGCGAGGCTCACCGAGAAATATCAACCTGTACGCTCTAATTAACGAAATCCTCGCATGTGTCAACTGTTGTCTCTGAAAAAATTTAGCGGGGAATGAGTCGCTAGCTCAGTGAGTAATAACACTTAACCACAACCATTTTTATTTGGGGACAAGTCAGAAACATGCTAGTATCTCAAAGAGAAAATACATAAAAATGCCCTTTCAGAAACAATAAATAATTTTCAGTCTCATTACGCTTTTCTTGTAGTAAAATATAATTAACAATTCAGTAATAAGCTCGGTAACCACTGTATAATATCAGTATTCACATTTTGGGAGGTTTCAATGAACGGATCATGTAATCGGTATAACTGTGGACTTCTTTGCTAGAAGTCATATATAACGGTAGTCCCTACTCGAGGAAAATCGGTAACGGTATGCTAGTTCTACCTTCCCACTAGCGAGGGTTATAACGGCAATCGGTAATTACAAGGTGCACCAGGTCTAACGAACCCGCCGTTAGTTACGGGATCCTTCAATATATACTCCCATTTATACTTGTCTCTGTAATCCGTATATACTCGTAAAAACTATTTTAAAACAATATAGGGCATTTCGGTTCTTATCAAATCATATAATTTCCTTACGATAACAATAAATTCAAGTAACGGTAAAACAGATCTAGTGACAACGAAAATATTTAAAACCACGGTATTCATTTCAAATAACTATTTCGGTATCATATCGAGTAAAAGACTTGTCCCACATGCAACTCAAAATAATCGGTAACATATTCATATTAAAAATTATGTGTAAATCATGCAAGTTATGAAAACACAAATTGCGGTAAGATTACTACTCACCTCGATGCCAACTATTCAAAGCTTGACTTCTTATTGATCCAATTGCTCAATTCGTTTGCAATCTATGAATCATTATAAGTCTAGTGTTACCACCCATCAACTCCATAATCCAATTCTCCCAACAATTATCTATCAAAATTCATGTTCTATCCTCAAAGCTTTTCTACCACTTTTTTAAGTATCCTGAAACTTGTAGGAAATAGTAAACACTTTTCTAAGTATCCTGAAACTTGTAGGAAATAGTAAACAGTAAGTTAACATCTTTATCTCTTCTTCATAGTTCTATATGAATACAATTGAGAGAATTAATATTTTTTTTTTAAAACTGTTATATCCAAAATTATAGGGAAAAATTCTGATCCAGCTCGACTAGTTCACCATTAATCTATTCAGTAATAAGTATCTGATTATTATTCATAGCTATTCTCGTATTCTAGTCACCGGTAACTTACAATATCCAATGGAATCCTACAATACCTGAGGTGAAGTTAAAAAAATATCTACTGAAAAATTCAAATTTGGAGTTCAAGTAATACCCAATGAAATATGTGAACGTTGGAAAGATCTACAGCTGATAGATATGACCTTTGAGGCAAAAACAAAACTTCACGTTTTATTTTTATTTTTTTTGCTGAATTTCAAAAGATTCTGATGCTTCTCTGTTGATTTTTTTTTTTGGTATGAAAGAAAAATGCTTCAATTTCTGCAGAAGATTTTGGTCATGTCCTCCTTAGGATGGAATTCCCTTCTGATAGATATTTTTCCAACTCTCAAAGTTTGCCCCAATCTTAAATTTAGTGTTTCAAAATCCTATAAGACTAAGGACTCAAAATCCCCTTTTGGTGTTCCAGATACGCTACTTTTGTTGGATATGACCCATCTATTTTTTTTAATCCTTTTCTTTTATTACCTGGTTCTCTTTTTTTTTTTTTGCAAGTTACTTAACTACCCTTGTTTTTAGTGTGAGGTGTTATAGTTATGGCATTATATTTGTAAATATTAATTTATTTTATCAAATTTGAATTCCATGATGTTCTTACAAAACGTATATTTTATTTTTGTAAGTATCTAAATATAAATTATGTTTACAATATTAGTTATAAATATATGATTACCAAATTAATGTATATTCACGAAAAAATATACATCTTAAATACAACATATATTATCATTTATACTTATAAAAATTTATAGGCATATATTTATTATATTAACTTTTAAGTTTTGATAATTACTTAATTTAAAATTTAATCTAACTGTGTAATTACACTTGTGCAACCAAACAATAAACTTGTAATTACACAACTGTGTAATTGCTAGGGTGTGTAATTACTACCCTAGTAATTACGCCAATTTCAATTACAGGTTGGCCTTCCAAACAGACTCTTATTATGTAGCGCTAAAGAAAACTTAGTTAACTTATGACTATAAGTAGTAAACCACCTACTGATATACTTTAAAGACAACTGTTAAATACTGCATAAGAGAGCAAACATTCTCACAAACAGTGTAACCTTCCATGAAGGACTACATTTGAACCATTGTTGAGCACTTTGACAAAAATACTTAAGTTCTTCCAATCATACTTCACAGGCTCACAGCCAATTGAACTGATTTTCTTGTTCCCAATACTTCAGCTAGCTATTACGGCTTTTCCAACAAAATGGATTGAACTATTTGGTAAAAAATTTTAAGCGTACATCATAAGAAAAGTATGATTGGAAGTATTTAACAAGAAGAAATGAAGATCACAGATAGAAGAATTCATTAGTTTGAGGTGATGAAGAGAAGAAGAAGAAGGAGAAGAAGGAGAAGAAGGAGAAGGAGAAGAAGAAGGAGAAGAAGGATAAGAAGGAGGAGAAGAAGGAGGAGAAGAAGAAGGATAAGAAGGAGGGGGAGGAGAAAGAGGAGGAGGAGGAGGAGGAGGAGAAGAAGAAGAAGAAGAAGAAGAGGGAGGAGGAGGAGGAGGAGAAGAAGAAGAGAGTATGAAGAACAAAGGAGAGAATGAACTAAGAGAAGAATATACTTTATTGATTAATCTTTGTATACATCTACATATATTATATATATATATATATATATATATATATATATATATATATATATATATATATATATATATATAATATAAAGAGAGAGAGAGAGAGAGAGAGAGAGAGAGAGAGAGAGAAGCAGATTATCTCCTTCTTCTCTAAGAATTACTCCACAAGTCATAACTAACTTAACTAACTTTTAGCCAACTATATATATATATATATATATATATATATATATATATATATAAAGAGAGAGAGAGAGAAGCAGATTATCTCCTTCTTCTCTAAGAATTACTCCACAAGTCATAACTAACTTAACTAACTCGTAACTAACTTAACTAACTTTTAGCCAACTGTAACTAACTTCTTATACCTATGAGCTGAGCTACTAGACTAGCTGTTTTTCCTTCTCATTCTTCACATAATATTTAATACTCCCCCTGAGGCTAGGTGGTGTAAAGATATTAAGTAATCCTAGCTTGGACCTTAAGTGTAGGTGTTGAGCTTTGTTTAGCCCCTTTGTAAGAATATCAGCAGGCTGTTCGTTGGTGCTAATATCTCAGTCCTTACAAGTCCATGTTGTATCTTCTCTCTTATGAAATTGCAGTCTATCTCAATATGTTTTGTTCTTTCATGGAAGACAAGATTAACTGCAATTTGAATTGCAGCTTTGCTATCACTATAAATAGTTACTAGGAGTTCAAACTTGAGACCAATTTTTATGAGCATTCCTAATAGACATGTCAATTCTGCTACTGCTGAAGCCATGCTTCTATACTCAGATTCTGCATAGCTTATTGAGATTGTAGTTTATTTCTTTGATTTCCACGACACCGTTGAATCTCTAGTCTTCACTAGAAAACCTGTGATAGACTTCTTTGTTTGAGGGCATGTTGCCCAATCAGCATCACAAAATGCTGTAATTTTATCATGTGGTTTACTTGACAGGAGCACATTCAGGCTAGGCTCATTTTTGATATATTTAATTATTCTTTGAGTTGCTTCATGTACGACCTTTTTAGTTGTTGCAACTGTGAGATATAGTAACTTTTCAATAAGTCTTTGGTATGGTCCTCGATCAGTTAGGACTTCATCTTCTATGAGTGAAGCAGTTGAGAAATGTTCATCATATTCCCTAGTTGTAAGTTTCAGATTGTTGTCCATAGGTGTACCTGTTGGTTTTGCAGTTGAGAGCCAAAGTTCAGACACTAATTCTAATGCATATTTTCTTTGGTGCATTAGGATTCCTTTATCTGACCTTGCAAACTCGTATATTTGCTCTATAAAGAATAATTCTCAGAACCAGTCAACTGTAAGGAGATGAGAGAAATGCCACTTACATCAGTCGAGTGTAGATATAGAGGATGATTATGATTCATGACTGGTGTTGCTCCCGATGCAGATTGAGTTCCATTTGCATCAACTTGAACCACAAACAGTGAAGTACCAACTGTAGTTCCCAGATTCTCAGAATTGTTGATTGTCATATCTTCATATGATCGCAACTAATCAACAAAGCTTGCTTCAATATAGATTACCATAATATAGATTCTCAGACTTTTTCAAGATTCGAAGAAAGATATTTTACATATTTAAATATGTCAAGAACAAGGACTTTTAATTCGAGAAAGTGATTGAATTCTACTGCTCTGATACCATGAAGAAATTCAAGTATACATCATAAGAACAATATGATTGGAAGTAATTAACAAGAAGAAATGAAGATCACAGATAGAAGAATTCATTAGTTTGAGGCGATGAAAAGAAGAAAAAGAAGACGAAGAGAAAGTATGAAGAACAAATGAGAGAATGAACTAAGAGAAGAATATACTTCATTGATTAATCTCTGTATACATCTACACACACACACACACACACACACACACACACACACACACACACACATATATATATATATATATATATATATATATAGATAGATAGATAGATAGATAGATAGATTATCCCATGCTTCTCTAAATTAAACTCTCCACAAGCCATATCTAACTTAACTAACTCGTAAGTAACTTAACTATATTTTTTGCACTGATTCCAGCTTTTGTGTTAAAGATAGAGTTGGAGTTCCAAAATGGAACATATAAAATAAAGTTGGAGGGCCAAAATAGAACAAGGTAGAGATAGAGTTCCAAAATAAAAAGAGTACCAAGTTAAATGGGTTGTATATGTATTTGATATCTTATTAACACACCGTGCACTATCAGTTTTGTTTCTTTGTCCTACTCACTCATACATACACAGAGCCCGTTTGGTTATAAGATTTTTTTCTTTTCGAAATCAGTGTTTGACCATAAAATTTTCAATTTTCACTTGAAAATGAATTTTGAAAAAGTGAAAACTCCATAAAACTGTTTTTAAAAATTTTCACTCAGATCACTCACAAAACTTCAAAAACAACCCAAAATAATATTCATGTACAAAAACAATTCTAGATTTTCAAATATCATTTTCTCTTGAAAATTCTTTTCACTTTTTTTGGAATTTTACATTTCTTATGTCCAAACATCCACATAATATATTCACAATTATATGACCACATCATTTTGGGATTTTTTTATTCTTTAAGCATTCTGGTAGTACACATACTTATCCCACTACTCAATAGAATATTCCGTGACATTCTTATCCAACCCACACCTAATACACACATACACTAGGGAAGGGGAATTTAGGGAAAATTCACAAAAAGGCCTTCTCAGCTTGTTCTCCAAGCAAAAGCACACACCCTGCATTTTATAATAAAACACACACACAACACACAAAAAAGGAGGGGGATATGAGAGCAGAAAATGGGGTCCTACCACCTAATCACAAACCATCTTCTTTCCTTCATTTTTAGCCATGTAAGCTCACCTTTAGCCACTCAAACTACAGCTGAAAATCAACAGCAAACCCAGCTGCACAAAATGCACCAAAACCCACCCAAAACTCCTCAAAAACAGCCCTCCCCCCNCGGGGGAGAATCCAAGTTGATCACCGATGGAGGAGCCGCCACAAATACCACTTGCCGTTTCTACGAAGGCCTATCCTCCTCCTCATTCGAAGGCGAACCCGTCCAAGAACGAACAAGCCCGGGCGGCCTCTCATCTTGTGGCATAACCCGCGGTGGAGACGCAGTCGCTGACGATTCAACCGACGCCGCCCTTGGTACTCGACGAGGCACAGGCACAGCAGCCAGCCTAGCAAGTGCACCCGGCCGACGGAAAGCCAATTGTGGAGCTTTGGCACGACGTGGTCTCTCTAGGTACAATGAACAAACAAATCAATAGACGCAGTCAGAACAAAATGAAATAGAAAAGAGAAAGGACCGAAATTCCACCTGTCACGGGCCTGCGACCATGCCTCTCCCAGAAAGCCGCCCAGGTGCGAATGCCCGCAGTACGAGGAAGCACTGCCTTGACCCAGTCTCGGATCCCCTCCAAAGGAGGCGGCGGCAACTTTTCAGCTACAAAAATGAAGGTAAATCAATAACCATAAGTACAAAGTATGAGGAAAGTCGAAATAGAGCGGATGCCCAGTCAGGAACGAGGTCTCACGTGCAAAGTTCCAAACTTCCGGGAATCCGCTTGGGTCCGCCACCAGGTGTTCAGTCCGAATATAGAAAAAATTCTCAAAGGAATGACGAATGACCTCGTCGTCCAGCCCAACCATCAAGCCCTTTGATCCTCGTGGGCGTGCATGGATCATGGTGCCGCGGATTTTTTGGGGAGCGAAGAGACTGAGCACGTGCCTCAAAGTGACCTCCCTACCCGCTAGCTCCGCATGTTTGATGAATGACGAAGTTTATGTGTATAGGATTTTCTGCTCGTACTCTGTCAAATTCTAGTATAGTTTATGATATCGTCCCACAGAGATTGGACAATCTAAGCTACAGACTTGTAATATTTTGACTACTATTTGAGAGAACCAAATTGATGAGAGGTGTGTTTGAAATTATAAATTAAGACAAATTTCTTCTGAAAAGTTTATATTTAAAAAGAGTTGGGAATCATTGAATTCACTTGATATATCATTACAATAAAATCTCAGGTTCATACGTATTTCTCTAAAGAATAATTGCTTATTGCTAATACAATTATATTTTTACACTAAGAAATAAATAAATAATTAACACTCCGCGAGGTTATGTCAATCATTTGATTTAAAATTAGTGACGATTAAACTGAAATATCTTGCCTGAATTGTGCTCAAGCGTAGTAAAAACTTCGTGAGAATATTTTTACTAGAAAATCAATAATCTTGCCTTCAACAATTTCTCCGTGAGAATTAAAACTGAGGCAAGCAAGATTACTTGAAACAATAATCTTACTAAAAATTATTTTAACTCTAATATTTTGTGCTCAAGTGTAGTAAAAACTTCGTGAGAATATTTTTACTAGAAAATCAATAATCTTGCCTTCAACAATTCCTCCGTGAGAATTAAAA